GGGGGTGTTACTCTGCGTCCTGCTTTGGGGGGTGTTACTCTGCGTCCTGTTTTGGGGGGTGTTACTCTGCGTCCTGCTTTGGGGGGGTGTTACTCTGCGTCCTGCTTTGGGGGGGTGTTACTCTGCGTCCTGCTTTGGGGGGGTGTTACTCAGAGTGCCGAACAGGCACTCCTGGAAGGAGGTGTATCGCAACGTGGCATCACTGACGACCTTTACCCCCTGCCCTCATTATGTACGGCTACACATCTCCCGGTTCAGGATGTGTTGAGGTGCAGCTGTATGCCGTGACCCTCCTTTACCCCCTNATTATGTACGGCTACACATCTCCCGGTTCAGGATGTGTTGAGGTGCAGCTGTATGCCGTGACCCTCCTTTACCCCCTGCCCTTATTATGTACGGCTACACATCTCCCGGTTTCAGAGGGGATTCCCACCACATTTACCAACTTGCTGTGCCTTTTTTCAACTCAAACTTCCATTTTGCTTCTGGTAGTTTTTGAGTATTTCTTAGTACCTTAGTTGAGGTAGCACATTAGCTGTTTAGAAAATGTGATCTACAGTGAACAAATCTTAATGTTAATGCACATCTTCCACTATAATCTACTTTGTAGTACCAGCTGTGTTTTGCGATGGTGCCCTCAAACTCCAGAAAAGTCATAGTTTTGAGAGGAAGGATACAATCAGGCTGGAAGAGGTAGTGTCTTTTAGAACACATCTTGAAAAGACATTCCTGAGAATTCTTGGGGGCAGACTGCCTTTCGCACCATCGAGGGCCCAGAAGGCTACCTGTTTTGGCCACATCCTACTTTCCTCATGCACTAAAATCGAGATCCCTCTCAGAAGGAATGGATCGTATGGGTTCCTCTTGCACCCTCTCCAAGCCCGTGCATTGCATTCTGGGATACTAGAGCTTGTTCTCTTGTGACAAGAACAGGCTTCTCCTTTCCAATATTCCCTGCCTTTGGAGGGTTCTTTTAACTAGGCCCTACTGAATTGCGTGTCGTCAGGCTGTTGATGTCCAAGTCAGCCAAGCAGAAGGATGACCCATTTCTAACGAGTACTCGCACAACTTGTGGTCTCATAAATTCTGCTCACGCGCCTGTTACGGGCTACTCCTCAGGGTATGGGCTGCCATCTTAATCCCAGTCTCTCAAGTCACCTTGCCTGTGCCCTTCAGGTGGCCGTGGTGAAGGTGAAGAACACAGACAAGGTGTTCGCCATGAAGATCCTTAACAAGTGGGAGATGCTGAAGCGTGCTGAGGTGAGGAAGGTTTGTGGATACTGGGTAGAGCGGCTCATTAAGAGCCAATGACAGAGGAACACCTAAAATGTTACATATGATATGTTTTGTATAAAAACGATCCATTGAATTCAGTTCAGTTACTGTGTTGAATTTTGTGTCAAATCTCCTAACAAAGGATGTAGACTTTTCTAATCTGCTTGCACAGTTTACGTCGTCAAAGATAAATAACGGCAATTAGCATAGTTTTCCCAATTAGTATAGGGGGAATACATAGCACAGTCACGCCCAGTGTTTGTATATCATATGAGTTCCTGTTGGAAAGGTTGCATCGGTCTGTATTTATCTGATCTTTCTCCTTTCCGTGTAGACGGCCTGTTTTCGGGAGGAACGGGACGTGCTGGTAAACGGGGACAGCCAGTGGATTACGACGTTGCACTATGCCTTCCAGGATGACAACTACTTGGTGAGCCCTAGAACGACTCACTCCTTCCCTTGCCCATTAAAACTATTAGTTTCCCCTTTCTTTGGTTTTTTTAAGGAAGGCGTTACTAGAGAGGCACGAGATATCGATTAACATATCGGTATCGGCCAATGTTCGTTAAAAATCAAGAAATCAACATCGGCCCAATGTGTAAATTTTTGTTTATTGCCAGCCGATATTTCGACTTTAGTCAATATTCAAAGAGTTAAAGACAAAATTGCTAAAATACCATATTGGCCTAAAAATGTGTTTTTTTTTTTTTCTCATCTAAAAACCTCGTTTTATATTCATTATACACATACAGCAATAGATGGGTAAATAATCTGCCTCCTCGCCGGACACTTTAAATGTAATTGACAAAATCCGTTTTAGCCGTAGCCTCATCGGAGCAGCGATCACACTTCCTGTGCTCTGCCTGTGCTCTGCCTGTGCTCTGCCTCTGCAGGGTCTTTGAGGCAATTTTTTTCATTTGTTCTTATCCCACCCGCTGTCCTCGATTCGCCGACGTAATTTGATGCCATGGGATTGGTCCGCAGGACTAATTACGCAGCTCCTGGAATGCTTTGCACTGCGCTGTGTGTATCTTTATATAGTGTAAATTAATGTGCATTTGTGTATTTATGTTAACGGTAAATGTCATAACTCTGCCGTGTTTTCTGAGTAATGTGTGTGTTGTTAGCGTGTAAATTGTTGGCTTCCCAGTCTGTGCCGCTGTTAATATTAGCCCAATAGTAGCTGTTAATAAAGCCTTTCACTTTAGAAGAGCTGTCATCTCCTTTATTAGAATCACTCAGCCACTTTCCACAATATGTTTTTTGCGCTCTTAATGTAGGTTTGCTGCATTGAAAACATTCTGTCCCCTCTAGGGTTTTGGACTTTGTCCTATTGACTATCAATCCTTACTCCCCTAAATAATGCATTAGTTTGTTGTAATGTTTGTGGTTTGACATGCTTTTTGTAATCCGATTACCTGTGGTTGCTTTTTAACACAGATATGGTTAACTTCTTGTATATCCTTGTCAAATAAAATATTTTTTCTTTGTAAAGATGATTTAGTATTTCAAGAACTGATGTGGTTGTTATACATAATTATGAAATCGTAAGCAGTGACGTCTCTGACATCATCTTCTCTGTAGCTCAGAGGTTAACCAGTATCAGTTACTGGTGTCGGCCAAAATTTCCACATAGGTGCCCCTGTAGGTGTTATTTCTGTGCCTCGCGAGATTTCCTGTAAGAAAGGCAGCACCTGGTTTTCTGATTTAGAACATTAATCGGTATAAATGTTTTATGTTAATTCCCATATTGTCATTTTAGACAGATTAATAGGGCAAAAGCACCATATAATAGGTTGTTTGTGATCAAAAGAGACGTACTTGGAGGTACTCCAGATTGACCAGGTGCTCAGTTTAGTGCTGCAGCCATCACTGAGATCATGCATTGTGATGACTTGGGATGGTGACGTGGGAACCTTGGTGGAGATTTTCTCACGCTTGGCCATCCCCCGCAGTACCTGGTGATGGATTACTACGTGGGAGGGGACCTGCTCACACTGCTCAGCAAATTCGAGGACCGGCTGCCGGAGGAGATGGCACGATTCTACCTGGCCGAGATGGTGTTGGCCATCGACTCGGTGCACCAACTGCACTACGTCCACAGGTAGGACCGCTGGGGCTAAAGTAGGACTCAGACTCAGACTTAGGACTCTGCATCACCTCCTGTGTTTTGCAATGTCCTCTCTTTCTTCCAACTTGATGTTAGTTGCCTTGAAATCTATGTAGTCTGCCTGCTTCCCGTCTTCCTGCTGGGATCCACCATAGTGCTGTCTGAGTGGTGCTCTTCAGGGACACACAGTAGGTATCCGGCAAGGCCAGGTCTTATTTTTGCGACGACATCTTGCAGTCTCTTGAAATCTCTCTCTTTATTAGAACATCATTGTGACACGACCGCGGTACAAGACCCCAAGTATTCATCGTGAACAACGTTGGTGGAACGTGTTTAGTCTCTGTGCTGTTTTTGTTGTAATTTTCCATGTCTCACTGGCATATGTCGTAGTTGGTATCACAATGATATTATACAGCTGTAACTTTAGTTGACATTTTGGGCTGAGTGTGATAGACTGTGATCTTTGAAATACTGCTGACGCTTTAACAAATCTTTGTTCTAAAGAAAGAACCGAATCCAAATATTTTTAGCTAAATATACAGGAGGTCTGTAATCCTAAACTGGTACTTGCTTGTGGGACACGTTTAATGGTTACTATTAGATTAGCGGCTTCTGTGTAGTAAAAGATGACTGACGTTATAGCTTGAAAAGAACGTAGTTACTTTTACTGTTTTTTACATTAAAAAGGAAGGTTATTGAATAAGTGGTATTGATTTCACAAGTCGCTTCTCTAATTGGTGGCAGTGTTTTCCTGTGTTGTATGGCTTTTTGAATTCTTTGTCCTGATTTCATGAAATCTGACATTTTCGCTAACACTTCGTTATTATACGTTGGGCTGTGACTGCCTGCCATGGGCTTCGTGTAAAGGCAGCTTCAGATGTGGTCCTGCTCCTCGCACAGGCTCTGATGCTTCTTAGCCTCTCCATTCATTCCCTTGGTCGGGTGTTGCCTTTGAGGTTCTCAGTGGTTTGAAGGGTGCGGGGGAAGGCCCACATCAGCGTGCTGAGCCGGGGGGGGGGAGAGGGACCCCCGCTTTGTGACTGCTTCCCGTGGGACCCTCCACACCCTCTCCTTTTTCTCGTCACTTGTCACATGTGCACTGGCTCTGATGTTGTGCTTAGAAACATCCTGCAGTGTTAGAAGTGGCTTCAGTGGTAACGACCCCCCCTTTGCACCGCCGGGTTTATTTTTGGCTGTTAGCTAGACATTTTTTTTTTTTTTTAAGGTATTGGTACTTTTGTGAGGCGATTCTCTGGTTCTAATGACAGGGTGCGGATGTACCGCCCCCCCCCCCCCCCCCCCCCCCCCCCGGTGGGAATTCACTCGGGCCCCTTTGCAGAGGGCCTACGGAGCATAAGCCCCTCCCTTAAAACCTCCGCCATACTCGCAGTGCTCGTGCGTGTGTCATTTGGCTTTCTTTAGGGCGAGGTTCTTTGCTTACGAGGACGAATGGGCACGAGGGCTTCGGAACCCGATTCGCTGCGGTGCCCCGTCTCAAGACATCCGATAAAACCTATATGTCGAGGGCCGCTGAGCTTCTTATATATGTGTGCTTTGCGCTGTAATGTGGTTTTATGTTGACCAGCTCGCCAGAAACTATGGAATTTACTTTTGGCTCTTCATCGGAGTATTATCTAGTGTCCTGGGTAAAGATACTGAACTGTTATAAAATACTGTGGGAGGTAATGGGTGTGTTTCTACTTTGTTTCATTTGTCTGAGCTGTAGGCCATGCCAGCTGCCACAGGCTGCTCCCTGCTTTGCTTCACTACCCCAGTAACCCTGAATAGGGCAAACCTGTACTGGAGATGGTTGGGTGCATAGCTTATGGTGCTGTGTGTGTGTTTTTTAATTAATTAATTTTTTTAGAGAGTCTTTGAGTTTATTGTGCAGTAGGAATGAAATAAGGATCTGTGACAATAAAACAAAGATTTATGCTGAGAAATGGATATTTTTCTTTTCCCGTCTTGAAGGTCTTTGGAACCCCATTGATAGGGTGAGTCTCGTGAAAGCTAACTGGGTCAGTGGACATTTTGAAAGGCATTTGGAGTAACGTCCCTGGAAATGTAAAGATACTCACCAGATATCCTGAACATGGTGGACTGAGATCTCCAGAGTAAAAGTACTGAGTAGACGTCCCCAGTAGCTACAACCCACACAAACAAAGCCGGCAGCTAGATGGAGAGCAGTGCCATTAGGCTGATTTTCGGAACGAAGCGGTCACCGTGGAAACGCCTTGCATGCACACATCACTGGGAGTGAATCCCCAACGGTCTTGTGTCGGCAGCCATTGACCTTGTAGCAGAAGGGTCACTCTGGGAGGGTGCACTGTTATTCTGCTGGGGGGGTGGTAAATCACAGTTTACGCCAAAACGTTTGCTTTGGCCGGGGAGATGTTAATGTGGGCTTTTAACCCAAGCCCCCACAATGTCTATGTACTATGTACATTGTGTATATAACTCCAATCTGGCAAAACAGGTACGTATGGCAGGGAATAGCATGACTCAACAGAGTAACAATATGCAAATGAAGATGGTAATCATATCCTTCACGATTTGACATACTGGTATCTTATTTTTCATCGTGCTTTCTCTTTTTTTCGTCTTGCTGCTTGGCTAGAGAGTAAGCGTGTAATCTACGCACAAATGGCATTGAGCATCTGCCCTGTGGATCAATTCCCGTTTTGCTAGTCAGAGGATGAATGAGTCCCACAGGCCTCCTCTTGCCCCTGATCATCTGATTGGGTGCTTACGCCACCATGGCTTGGGTTAGCTGCCACGATCTTTAATGCATGTTCCAGACTCTTAGTTACTACTGCCTCACAGCATTTGCATATGTATTTTTACGTAATCTTTTTTGCTATATTGCGTTTTGTGGGGTGGGTCTATAGCTGGCATGAAAACATGGTATTCTTGGGTGGTCTGCGTGATAGGGCGATATTTGGAGGACTGGCTGTCATACCTCAGATTAGAGTGCTATAATGGTGAGGGATGAGTTCCTTTAATATGTTGTTCTTTGGGTTCTTGAGTTTGTCAGCCATTAGCAAAAACAATGAAGCTTAAACACGAGGAAGACGTTGTTGGGACTTCACCTTCCCGTGCCGCGCTCTGGTTCGTGTGTTGGACAGTGTTCAGTCTTCCAGTCTTCATTATTCTTATATCGCCATCATTCATCTTCACTGTAGAACTGGAATCCAGTTGGGATGATACTTTCTCAGCTTTTTTCTCTTAGCTTACACTTTTACATACAGCCCTTCGCACAAGGGCAATAGTGAGCAGTATCCATTACTGTATTCAGTCAAAACACTAGTCTAGTTGTAATCACTCCTGCTGTGATGGTCACCGGGCTGCCCTGTAAACACTGATGCATCGTACACCATCCCTAAATAAGCATGAAGTTTCACAGTATGAGCACCTGACACTAATTGGCAGGAATAATTCTGCAGATGTTCTTCTTACAGTTAAGCAACATGTCTGTTTCTGGACTGAGAGAACATAGATTTCAGGCTGCTAAAATAAATGTGTGCTGCTTAACATATTCCTATAATGCTTTTACTATTATGAGGATATTGCATAGCGGGTTTTGATAAAATGAGCTGTGCTGAAAGAGGCTGACCAGCTTTGGGTTGTATGTTTTCACTGCACCCACTGGCTCCCAGTCTTATTATCGGCTTTATGATGGCAGTGTAGGGGCCTCCAGCAGTGTGATGTGGAACTTGCCACATCCATTTTTGGGAAAGGGTTTTTATTTATTTATTTTTTATTTCTGAGGGGTGGGGTGTGGAGCGGAAACTCCATTAAAATGCAACATAATTGCTGCCTGTTTGGTCCAGGGAATTATTTTCTGTGACGGGCCAGATGTGAACTTCGACTCCACATGGGCCGTTTTTAAATGACCATTTTCACATCCTATGAAAGCTTCTTTTTTTAAATACATGCAGAAATCAACATAACCAGTGCATTTTTCATGTTCAAACTAAATTTCTATATCTACAATTAATCTAAAGAAAAGATTGTGGTTAAAAATCTGTTCATCTCCATAGATATCAACATAAAACCTTTTGTAATGTTTTTGTTATTATCATTATAAGCATCACACTTGCCAGTTTTTGCCTATTGGAGTATTGTATACGCCAGCTTTTGCCAGTTGGAGTATTGTATACATCAACTTTTGCCTATAGGAGTATTGTGTACGGCAGCTTTTACCAGTTGGAGTACTGTATACGTCAACTTTTGCCTATAGGAGTATTGTATACGGCAGCTTTTACCAGTTGGAGTACTGTATACGTCAACTTTTCCCTATAGGAGTATTGTATACGCCAACTTTTGCCTATAGGAGTATTGTATACGCCAACTTTTGCCTATAGGAGTATTGTATATGCCAACTTTTGCCTATAGGAGTATTGTATGCGCCAACTTTTGCCTATAGGAGTATTGTATACACCTGCTTTTGCCAATTGGAATATTGTATAATGACTTGTCGAAATGTAAATGCTGTAAGGAATGTGACATGTGCTTTCTCTGAATGAAGCTGCTTTAAATCCCCCCCCCCTCCCCCAGCGTGTCCTCCCATGTCAGGAAAGCAGGTCCCTTTAAGGCCACCAGCAGCCGAACGCCCCAGCTCTGTCACCTGTGCCCTTCACCGCTCTGATTGGCTATGTCCTTGCGACTACTTTCGAGAAGAGAGGGGTGTTAAGAAAGAGGCACAGCACTGCATGCTGGGTTTTCAGTGCGGGTTTGTGCCGGGGTAGCGTGCATCTATCTTGCGTTCACTTTCCCCTCACGGTCTGCTAAGCACTATCGCAGGAATGTAAACAAAGTTATCTAAGCTAAACCATCCAGACAGGACGTCTTATAAACATCCCCGCATCTAGATGCTAATTGGTACGATCAACAACAGCCGCTGGCCATTGTTGGGAACGTATCACAGAAATGACTAGTAGCTTGTTTTTTTTTGTATTGTGATTTGATTTTGCTCTGATGTTCTCAGAAGCCCTTCTATAGCAAACTTGGGTGTTTTATTTTTCTCTTCTCCTGCGTCTGCCTTTTGTTGAATGTTCTTTCACGCCGTCGTTCCCCTAACCTGTGGCATGTCAGTAAGCAGCACTCTTCCATGCTGGGAAAGGCTCCTGTGACTTGAGTTGAATTCTCTGCCTCCGCTGTGAGTGTGAGTTGACACGACTGGCCCCGGTCGTGCAGATTCCCTCTCGCAGTCCAAAAGCATGCAGCTTGGCTGATTGGCATCTCTGAAGCGTTTGTGCCCTGTGACTGGTTGGCGTCCTGTCCGGGGTGGACCCCTGCCTCTTATGCCCCAAGCTCTGATCATGACCAGGATAAGCGGATGTTGGGTGGGTGGGGGCACAGAGAGATAGGTCTATGGTTACATTTGAAGGAGATCTCATCCGCAGTACTTTGCCAGGGAATTGGGAGCCACATTTTCTAGGGAGGGGTTGGGGTGGGGAGGGATGTATGCCCTCAGGCAGGGGGGGGTTATGCCACAAGCCCAGTGGCAGATGTTAGCATTAATGGGAGATTGTCCCCCCCACTGTGTTGGGACCCCCTTAATCTCCCAGGCTCTTCATCCCTGTCAGCTTGATCAATTACCGCATAGGCAGAAGATGATCGATCGCTACAAATACAGAAGATATTACACATAATTGTAGCTGTCACTCTGAATAATGTCCTCGATATTTATTTCCTTTGTAAATCGGCGATAATGGTTATTAACAAGGATATTAACAATTTTTGTTATAAAACTGTATACATTTGTGAATTTGACAGTCTTCGCCAGTCAAAATGTTTTTTTTAAACACTGATGTGAAAATGTCACTTATGACTGCTGTATTTATTATGAGTGTCACTCGCGCAGTCATTAAATTTTGGTCTTGGCTTATTTCATGCTGATGCGTCCCAGTGTATTAATATGGCTTGATTTATGATGCTGAAAGTCCCTCGGGGAGCCTGAATGGTGTCCAGTGGGGAGGCTGGGGGTGTGGCATCATATCTGTGTTTGTCAATAGCGTGTGGGTGAGGGGCTTAAGGGTCACAGGCTGACAATGTCCCTGACCACCCATAGGGGGCGACCTACGTCTGCCAGCTCCCGGCAGCTGGATACCATCCTCTGCTCACTGCCGTTAATGTTCCATGTGGGGAGGCCTATATCCCCACTCTCTCTCTTTCTCCCTCTCCCTCCCTCCCCTCTTTCCATCTTCCTGTAGTCACACCGGCTGAGACAGTATTCATTCATTAACTTATCGATTGGCTTTCAATGCACCAACCTGGGCCTGGCTACATTAACACACCTTGCGTTTGTCCCTTATCTCTGTACAAACGAGTACGCACGTCGCTTCAGCCGAAATGTAGAATGAAGACTTATTCTGGTACCATAAATGTGCTTTCAAGTAATAATGTTGTACACACGTTGCTGATGTTTTATACTAAATACACCCTCTCCTTTTTAGCGACCAAGTCGTGTTCGAAATGCCATTTAGTTAAGTGAAATGGGAGTTAAGAGAAAGTAACGGTGGCCTCAGTGTGACTGTGACTGTGCTTACGACTTTTTCTGCGTTCCGTACTCCCTTTTTTTATCCTTCATGACGTGGACATTTTAAATTTTTACCAGCATTTTGTACATTCGTACTTGAGAGATCTCTCTCACTGTGGTGGACGTTGTTGTCAGGCACGTGAAATTTGGTTGATAATGCGTGCATTGGTCGGAAAATTATCTTTTTAAATTAAATTTTGCTGGTGGTTGCTAACTGAGGTAGTTGCTAAATGAGGGGTGGTTGTGAATTCATAATGCAGAATGCAAGGTTTTTATTATTATAATTTTTAAAATCCCATTGCTGATTCCAGCTGTTTATTGAGTATTTCAGCCTGAGGTTTGACACTGACAGCTCGGCAGTCGCAGCAGCGATTGATGGATCCCCGTACTTGCCTGGGGGGGGGGGGCGTCGGGGCGCGCGGCAGCTCCTTGGGGAAATCTGCCATCCCCTGCATTGTTTCCGGGCCGGTCCGCAGAGCTCTTCCAAGACGTCCTCGCAGGCAGCCAGATGGCCTCAGTCCCCAGCAGAAACGGGAACTGTTTAAGATGAATATGTGTTGAAAAGGGCCTCAGATGTGGGTCGGGATGCTTTGTGATGTTAAACGGTGCCTCATTCGGGTTTGTCTTTGTGGCTATTGTTATGCAGGGTAATTGATTTGTTATTTTGTTATAATCACACAATGGCTGTTACTTCGTGTTTATGTGTAGCACGACGAGGTTGATGTTTGACAAACGGAGGCAGGTCGCTTTGCTAATCTGTGTCCGATGTCCTCTGCAGCCACAGTTTCGGCTCTGTGATCTTCCAGCACCTCCCAAATTGAGATATTGCTGGAGGGGTTGTCTGTATGCTTCACTGGATCTGTCCAGATGATGCAAGGTGGCTGAACACCGCCCCCCCCCCCCCCCCCAAGCCAGAACAGAACTCTGCTCCACGCACCTGCTGGCAGAGGAAGTGCCGCCTGTCTGTCGTCATCTCCTCATGGGCTTGCACTTCCTGCTGGCCGACAGCACACTTCTCATGCGAGCAGGAAGCCACCTACTGGCGTACTTCTATTACTGCATGTTTTTGTGCTTCTCACTGTTTAAGCTGCGGGGCTGTACTGATCGTTTTATTTTACCTTATCTAAGCTGTGTAGATTTTGTATTTTTTTAAATAAGTATTCTCAGAATAAGGCAAGACTAAGTTATAATGAATATGTTGTAATCAAATAGCTTCAAGTAGTTTGAGTTCATCTGGGTTCCTGATTGTCTGCTCCTTAGGGACCATGGTGTGCTACCATACTTCACCTGATCATTAAACTCTCAGGGGGGGGAGAGGGTGCCAGGCAGACCGACTGGGGGGAGAAGTAATGAGCCAGAGATGTGAAGGGATCCAAATCTAAACGGTTATTAAACACAATTAATTTCGAAGCACTCTGTCGTTTGCCCCTCTGCCTCTCGGAGGGAGAGGGGCAGAGTGGCGTAGATATGGCGCGCGTTCCTCCCGCCCGTGGGAGTGGTCGCAGGCCATGTGGATTTTTGGGATTGTTGTGGGATGCCTGTTTCCCAGTGTCACAAGCTCAGTGTTCCATTGGTCGGCCTGATTCACGTTCACGCCTGTTTGGAAGCCTTCCCAGTGACAAAAATAGCAAGTCGGTGTACAAGCATGTCAAGACTGAATAGTATTAGGAGTTTTGTATGTCGTGTACAAAAGTGTTGAGTCAGCACGAGGCTTTGAGATTAGAATGGATTTGTTGCCTCTCGTGCCCCGTTTGAATCATGCAGCATCTCTTAAGCTGCAGGCGAGGCCCTGAAATTCACACAAAGCATTGTGGTGCGTAGATCCGCGATTTGTCACGTCAGGCCATAGATTAATGCTCAGCCGCTTAGTGTGGTGGAAGCAGAGGTGCCGCCTCGTGTAAGTGGCTGGACGAACCGGCCCGGCCGAACGTGACCGTCTGATCGCACGTGAGCCGCTTCCAGATGCCGGCGAGGCGTGCCGTCCGTGACGTGAACTTCGAGGTCTTAGGGAAACATGCCATCCTGAAACTCAGAAAGGAATTTCTGCCTCACTGACATAAGAACGGATGTCTCTGCTGAATAGAAATGTGTGTCCCACATCTGTCACTTTGTGTGGTCAGATGGTGCTTAATTCTTCTGTGACAGAATCTCCTCGCCTCTGACTCCAGAGTGTATTTGGGGGTTTAATAGAGGGTGTCTGCTGGGTAACAATACCCCCAGGCCCACCTCAGACTGAATTACGACTATGTTTGGCCTCTTGTTGGTCTTCTGAAGCCATGTTAAATGGCAGGTTATTTTAAGAACATCTGTAACATCTTTTAATCCGCATTTCAGTGATTCGGTGACCGGTTTTATGCCACGAACTTTCCCTAATAGGGTTTTCCATGAACTGGATTGTTCAGATTCTTCTCTTAATGGTCTGGAATGCCAGCAAGCCCAAGGGAAGTTGTTCACTTGCTTAGTTCTTTGACAAACCAGAATTCTCTCCTGTGTTCATGTTATACTGGTGCATACCCAGCTAACGATTTTTCGTTCTAGGAACATTTACCGAATGTGACAAAGTTTGGAAACGTTCAGTGTCCATTTTTCGGATGTTCCCAGAACGTTATCCCGCTACTACAACTAAGAATAACAATGTATGAAGGAATAAAGGGTGTGTTAGAGCGGCAGGAAACACTGCACTTTACACCTGTAAGGTCCAGGCTGGATAACACCTTCATAATATACACATATAGTTCTAATATAAAATATTTTTAATTATAAAATTTTCCATCATTAATTACGCTAAAATAATGTTATTATGCTAATATTAAGAGATCAATCTTGGGAATAGCGTTTTATTATCATTACAGTAAGAACATTCTCTGCCCACTTTGAGAACTTCAGCCAACGTTATGTAAAGATTCTGGGGACGTTCCCTGTTAGCTGGGTGCTGACCTGAAGCTCCGGTATGTATTAGGGGTGCTGGATCACTGTTTTTATGCAGATATTTGCTTTTTTTTTCTCAGGGACATCAAGCCGGACAACATCCTGATGGACGTGAACGGCCACATCCGCCTGGCCGACTTCGGATCCTGCCTGAAGCTGACGGAGGACGGGACGGTGAGGCCCGACCCAGTTCACGGCGTTTCTGCCAAAGCTTTGGAAGTGAGCAGTGCCTGCGGTGGGCAGACGAGCCTCCCAGCTTCACCTGCTGCTCAGTCACCTCATATGTGGAGTGAAATCCCTCTTTAGAGCTGTTAGGGGAAGAAGGACTCCGTTTATGTGTCTGTGCCTAATGCAAACACATGCAAACGAGCCATAAGAGCTTATACCTTCACCCTCAAAATTCTCCCATCCCTAAGTGGAAACCAGTCTAAGTTTTTAATGGCCCAGTGTGAGAGACTGGTTTGGGCTGCACTGCTTTCTGTGCACGGATGGTATGGTGCTCATTGAGTTAGGACTCTGTATGTGATCAGAAGGTCACGTGTTCCGGTCCCCGAGTCACCAGTGATTTTGCTGCTGGGTCCCTGAGCCAGACGCTTAGCCCCTAATTATCGCGCTTTGCTGAATGTCAGAAAGTCGGGTCTCCCCAGTCTGTGCTGGTTTACTCCTGGTGTGTCTGGTCTGTGCTGCGCTGCAGTACTGCCTTACAGACGACACCCTAGAATGACTTTCTGATTGTGAGCGGAAAGTAACTGTCCTGCATCGTTTAACCTTGTTTTCCCTCATTTCTATGTAAAGTCATGCGGGGAAAACGGCACTTAATCGCTCATTTCCATCTCCTCCTTATGCATTTATCGTAACATCACATGTGGCACGTGGCTCAGTGAGTTTGGACACTGTGCCTGGGATTGGAAGGTCGCTGGTTCAAATCCCAGGGTCAGCAGAATGTCTGTGTGTATATTTAAAGAGAGAGCAAGATGGGATATGTAATGAAATTGCAGGACAGACAGCATGAGGACAATAGGGGGAAAATAAATTAAATAAATGCAGGGTGAAGTCGCCTATCAGATAAATGAAGAAGTGATTACACAGCAACACAAGACATGTAACCACAGCCTTGATATTCGTTCATCTGTCTTACAAGCAGTTTCATTTTTTTCTTCTTTCACCTTTTAATTGCAAAAACATAAATAAAAATATAACAGAAGCAGGAAGGGGAAAAATAATAATCACTTTTGAATTTTGGCTAAGATCAAGTGTAGTAATGAAACGCATTTCAGTGAATTCTCTTCTCATACTGGGCAAATAAGGCTTCATTTGCTTCCTGAGCCAGTCCATCTGCCTCCCGTGACAGGTCCAGTCCTCGGTGGCGGTCGGCACGCCGGACTACATCTCCCCGGAGATCCTGCAGGCCATGGAGGACGGCAAGGGCAAGTACGGGCCCGAGTGCGACTGGTGGTCGCTGGGGGTCTGCATGTACGAGATGCTGTACGGGGAGACGCCCTTCTACGCGGAGTCGCTGGTGGAGACTTACGGCAAGATCATGAACCACAAGGTGAGCCGGGGTTCATTCCATAACCAGGGGGGACGGTAGCAATGAACATGTTTGTAACGATAACTGTGAGATTTTAGTTCTCATGCAGGCAGTACTCCTGAAACGCACAGTAAGGGCGAGGAACTGTGGGTGAAATGTCAGCTGTCATCTTTCTAAACAAGGTTGCATGAAGAAGTCGGATTACCAGTGTTTTTCTGAAGCCTTGATCCATTGACTTTCATATAAAACCATGATTTTTGTATGGCAGAATGGTCAGAAGATGAATGAGGATATAAACTGTTTAGCTGTTTTGAAGTGATTTTCTCTGGTTTATCAGATTTACTGATTTAACCGCAGTGTCACCAGGGGCGGGGTCACAGGGGCAGGGACCTCAGGTGAAAAGCTGATTGGCCCCTGAAGTACCCCTACTCCTGTCACTCATTACTTCAAAGCATATGATTGGCTAATGATAAGGATGGCCCCTCTTATGCCCTCCACCATAAAAATAATAAAATCACCACTTTTGTTGTCCTTTGCATATATTCCATCCATCCATTCTCCAACCCGCTTATCCTACTGGGTTGCGGGGGGTCCAGAGCCTATCCCGGAAGCAATGGGCTGGAGGCAGGGAGCAACCCTGGATGGGGGGCCAGCCCATCGCAGGGGGCACTCACACACCATTCACTCACACATGCACACCTAAGGGCAATTTAGCCTCAGCATGTCTTTGGACTGTGGGGGGAAACCGGAGTACCCGGAGGAAACCCCACGACGACACGGGGAGAACATGCAAACTCCACACACATGTGACCCAGGCAGAGACTCAAACCCAGGTCCCAGAGGTGTGAGGCAACAGTGCTAACCACTGCACAACCATGCCTTTGCATATATTCTTTTGTCTAATTACTTTCTTTGAGGAAAATACACCTTTTACGCCCCAGATAAATATTCAACACATTTCCTTTGACTTTTGCACAGTATTATATCTGTGGTGTCTCAGGGTGCAGCCCTCAAACTGAAGACCGCATGACACACTGCGGCGTTTTCCCGGCAGGAGCGCTTCCAGTTCCCGCCGCACGTCAGCGATGTGTCTGAGAACGCCAAGGACCTGATCCGCCGCCTCATCTGCTCACGGGAGCACAGGCTGGGCCAGAATGGCATCGAGGACTTCAAGCGGCACCCCTTCTTCTCAGGCATCGACTGGGACAACATCCGCAGCTGCGAGGCCCCTTACATCCCCGAGGTCAGCAGCCCGTCGGACACGTCCAACTTCGACGTGGAAGACGACTGCCTCAAGAACTCGGTACGCTGCCCGCTTTCGCTTTAATGTTAGCACACCTTGTTTTACTCAGGGGATGAATGGATGAATGGATGGATGGATTCTTTTTTAATCCCAAATGAAATTGCAGGTTTACAGTAGCACAATACATACTTTTAAATATTAATAGACAATAAGAATAAATAGAGAACAATAAATAGCCCAACTGCTGCTATTATTAGCATATCTTTGATGCATTGTCCTTATTCGATGGCTTTGTGTGTCAGTTGGTGGCTCACTTCCCTCTCCTGGTCCTCGTCTGCCGTGTGTCCGGTTTACATGTGCTGTCCACGTTGTGGGGATTTCCTCTGGGTACTCCAGATCCCTCCAATAGTTTAAAAATATGTCCTCAGCCAGTTTCCTAGAGTGTGCGTCCTATGACGGACTGCCATTACGTCCGTGCGTGGCTAGCTATGACGGACTGGCGTTACGTCCGTGCGTGGCTAACTGTGATGGACTGGCGTTACGTCCGTGCGTGGCTAACTGTGACGGACTGGCGTTACGTCCGTGCGTGGCTAACTGTGACGGACTGCCGTTACGTCCGTGCGTGGCTAGCTATGACGGACTGCCGTTACGTCCGTGTGTGGCTAACTGTGACAGACTGGCGTTACGTCCGTGCATGACTAGCTATGACGGACTGCCGTTACGTCCATGTATTGATAGCTGGTTTTGGAAGAGTGCTATATGAGGTGTGATGTCACCTGAATTGAGGAGTATCATGCATGGGTACTCTAGCAGTTTTTAATGTTCATGTTTCTTATGATTTAAACAGTAGTCTTATCAGGTTCTTTCTTTTTAGGGAGATGTGTAGCTGTTGCTCCAATACTCTCGTTTCTGGGCATTCACTGGAATCCCAGCCTAGCTGCACTCATGCCTTGTTGACTCCTTGACAGCATGTATATTAGCACTGTGCAGTTTGCCTCTCCTGTATGTTGCTTTGGACAGAAGCGTGAGTGTAACAGCTGTGGTTTTGCTTGGCTTGTCAGGACACCATGCCCCCCCCGTCCCACACCACCTTCTCCGGACATCACCTCCCCTTCGTGGGCTTCACCTACACCAGCCACTGGTCAGTGATCCCCAGGCCCTCGGCTGATTCCCAGCGTTTCCTCTCCACAAGCCAGCCGCTGAAGTGCCTTTAAATCAGTCGTTTTTCATCCTGGTCCTTGGGGACCCCGAGACGCTCCACATTTTTTGCTTGGGAGCTGGGAGGGAGCAAAAACATGGACTGTCTGGGAGGGAGCTGGGAGGGAGCAAAAACATGGACTGTCTGGGAGGGAGCGGATTGAGAATCACTGCTTTGAGTAAATGTAGAGGTATGGGGGGGGTTCTTCATTAAACATAGATGCCCTCTGCCTCAACCAAGTGAAGGGCATTAATCGATTTTATTTATTTATGTATGTGTATATCTTATTTTTTATATATAAACCTCTCCTGTGTAACAGAGTAATTCAGACCTGGTGAGATCTTAATGCAGTTTTTAAAATATTTCGTGGTGGAAATTTATTTAGTTAATGCTGTGCCTTTAGTAGATTTATTGATCAGGATGAGTTAGTAGAGTTTTTTAATAGGTACACAGCTGTGTAAACTCTGAATCGTTTCGCTGTTAAATTTTTCTGAGCCATCCAACACTGTCACAGGGCAAACTCACTTACATACGCGTCGCTCCAAATTAGCGCCCTTTCGGACCGGGGCTGCCTGCGCGAGTCTGCAGTGCCTGCGCAGATGGACGTGAGAGTGCAGCGCAGCTTGGAGGAGAGTCTGGCCACGGAGGCGTATGAGAGGCGGCTGCGGCGGCTAGAGCAGGAGAAACTGGAGCTCAGCCGCAAGCTTCAAGGTCTGACTTATTCGCCGCAGATACAGTATATATGCGTATGTATGTAACTCGCTCAACAGCACACTGGTGTTCTGGATCAGGGTCAAATTCGCTTTAGTTAACAGGCCACCTTGGACCCAATTGAATATTCAATGGGTTAATGATTTTCCCCATGTAGACCAGCCTCGGAACGAATTGCAGAAGATTGATGGTGCTGAACAAAAGCGATTGCTGGTACAATGGTTAACAATACCTGTTAAACGTGAATAGGGCTGTCAGAAGTTAATGCATTAACATGTTGGCGTTAAATTCATAATGTGTTATTGTGTTCTTTTGATTGCATTAACTTTAATTACATTGATGTTGATACCCCAATAGGGAGAATAGCACGAGCAGCTGAGTATTATATTCATTCAGCGCTGCAGTGGGCATCAGACAAGGCTGTAGGCAGATACACCGTGAAGGAAATGGGGGGGCGCAAACAGACAGTGTCAGTGGGGGGGCTGGAGACCCTTCAGGGGATCGGGGGGGCTGGAGAGCCTTCAGGGGCTCGGGGGGGGCTGGAGACCCTTCAGGGGCTCGGGGGGGGGCTGGAGAGCCTTCAGGGGGTCAGGGGGGCTGGAGAGCCTTCAGGGGCTCGGGGGGGGCTGTCCTCTGATATTCACATGTGCTGAGAGCTCAGGCACAGCTAGCTTGACCTTTCCTTCTCCTTCCCACTGTCCTCAGAGTAGATTTCATGCTGCACTGGGGAAGACAGTCCCACCCCCTGGTTGGTCCTCCAGTCCCACCCTGTTCACCCTTATTGTGTTCAACCATGGTTATCTTCAGGGCTGAATTTATGAGGTGGGGGCCCTACCTACAGCTGAAAATGCTGCTGTAATAACTGGGAAAAATAAATCTTTCGGGTCCCTCCTACAACCTGGGCAGCATGAAATGAGGCAGGGGGCCGTATTCGGCCCACGGTCCTTGAGTTTGACACCTTTGCTCTGGAAGCACCATATTATGAATGTAACGATCCTGTGTTCTGAGGTCAGGAAACAGGGCCAGGAAGGAACAGATGAACCTTTGACCTTTTGGCTCGCTGGTATCGAGTCCCGGAGCAAGGTCATTACCGACGCCGCTGTGTCCCACAGAATCCACCCAGACCGTCCAGGCATTACAACACTCCGGCGGAGATGGACCAGTAGCGGCCAGCAAGGAGGTCGAGATCCAAAGCCTGAAGGAGGAGATTGAGGCCCTGAAGAAACAAATAGCAGGTATCATTCTGGGATTATACCCACACGGTCTTTTCATGACCGTCTGGAGTCAGAGAGAGTGGCCACAGCACCCTCAGTGCCCCAGCTCCCTCACCTTTCTCCCCCTGTGTGCGTGACAGACTCTGGGCGGCTGGAGCAGCAGCTGGAGAAGGCTAGCTCAGCCCACAAGGACCTGGAGGAGTCCTCCAAGCACATCAAAGGCCTGGAGAAGCAGGTGAAGAGCATGAACCAGGAGAAGGATGACTTTCAGAAGGTAATAGAATGCTTCTTACTGTTTTGGCTCCAGCACTTTCAGTCCAGGACCAAAAATATGGTTGCTAAGACCTGGAATGAGGTAAACAAGCCATATTACCCTGGGTTCTCTTCACCTTAGCCTAGAAAAATACACGAAATCTGATTCCCACGCTGGATTCCCAGTGTAGCTTTTCTCAAGACCCAACATTTTTCCTGTATCCCTTTTTTAAAAAAAAAAAAAAAAAAAAACTCTACACCCAGATAAATCTCCTGGTCTTTCCCTGCATTCCTGTGTCACATGACACTGTTTGCCATCTCATCCAGGCCTTTTGCCAGCCTGACTCCCTTCAAACCCCTTACTGGTGAAGCTGGTAAACACAATGGCCGGCATCACCCAGCTATTCCTCCCATTTGCTATCCCTTTCACACCGAGCTATAGATACCCCTATCACTTAGCCCCCCCCCCAGGAGAGCCCTTTTCACAGTGGGAAGGTAAATCATCTTTTCTTCAAAGGGGCAGTTAGTCTCCTTCATTCCAACCCTTTCACCACTCTTAACTGCTGCTATTAATATTTTATTGAAGTTCATAAATTTCCAGAAAAAGGTACCACTTGAGGTTTCATGCATGATCCCCGGCTGATTGGGGGGGGGGGGGGGCAGCACTTTACAGGGGCCCTTAAATACGCAGAAGTTATGTGACGTAATAGGAGCCCAAGGTCACTTTTTCTCAGGGGGCCCAGAATTTCTAGCTACCCCCCTGTATCGACATACGTGTGGGGGGGCCCTGTTACAGGAGCTGCTGGAGGCCAACAACGTGCTGAAGTCACAGGCCAAGGAGCTGAAGGAGGCACACAGCCAGAGGAAGCTGGCCATGCAGGAGTTCTCGGAGATGAGCGAGCGCGTGACGGAGCTGCGCTCCCAGAAGCAGCGGCTCTCCCGCCAGGTCCGTGACCGCGAGGAGGAGCTGGAGGGCATGTCGCAAAAGGTGGAGGCACTGCGACTGGAGGTGCGCAAGGCCGAGAGGGCGCGCAAGGAGGTGGGTAGCCGGTGTAGTGGAGGGGGGGTCCGGGTCGCTCCCCTTTCGCCGTGGCCGGAGACGGATCTGATGGCTTGGTGGTCTCGGCCCGGTCCCCCAGATGGAGGTGCAGGCGGAGGAGAGGAGCGAGGAGGCGCAGAAGGAGAAGAAGCTAAAGGAGCGAAGCGACCAGTTCAGCAGACAGCTGGAGGAGGAACTGGAGGTGCTGAAGGTACACAGTTGTGTTTGTGGGGACTCCTGCTGACACCTAAGTAATGTCAGGAATTACTCCCAAAACAAGCTAACATTAGAAGCTTATGAAAACGAACACTGGCTTATTAATCCCCAAGTGGACATTAATTATCTGATTAGGGAAATCGTAGAGTTCTTCTTTACCCTCCATTTGAGTAGATCCCCACAATGTCTCATGTTCAGGTCCTGCCATGTAGACACAGATATTCGTAGCTGCACAACAAAATAGTGATACTTTATTGATCCCCATGGAATAAAACTTTATGCTTACCCCATGACACGCACGTCCACATATACAGGTAAGACCAAGCTTGGGGATCACAGCTCAGGTTTGGTCAGCGTAGAGCAATCCGGGGTTTGGAGGGGCAACAGCAGCATCAGTCTGCCGGCCTTGGGATTTGAACCAGTGACCTTCTGATCACAGCCCTAACCCACTGAGCCACACACTGTACCCAGAGCGCCTTAATTCCTGCTGGTGCGCGCTGGGGGAGACGCGCGCTGGGGGACACACACGCTCGTGGGAGTTTTACTTACACAAAAATGTTCTGAGGGCAGAATGAAAAATTACTGATTTGGAGAGATAACCAATCAGCTTGTAGAAAAGGTGGGTCCAAGCAACCAGACCAACAAATCAGACGTATTGATCCCACCTCCTCTGCAATCTGATTAGTTCTCTCTGAATCAATCATTTGCCCTCAGAACATTTTTGTGTAAGTAAAACCCCGAGTGAGGCTGAGGCTGAGGCACACACATCCCCCAAACCACCTTTTGGCTGTTTGTCCTGGTGTGCCTCTCTACCTCACCCCCGCGAGTGTAAAGGAGGAAGCGTTCATGGCCGTACTTTCCTCTGCACCCCGTTTCCGTGGCGGCAGAAGCAGGCTGGCCGTGCGCCAGGAGCGGGGGCCTCCGAGCAGAACCAGGAGCTGGGCCGGCTGCGAACGGAGCTGGAGAAGAAGGTGGCCTCCTATGAGGAGGAGCTGTCCCGGCGGGAGATGCAGCACACCGGCGAGCTCAAGGGTCTCAAGAAGGAACTGCGAGACGCTGAGGCCCAGCACCTGACCCTCAAGAAGGAGATCATGATGCTGAAGGACAAGCTGGAGAAGATACGGCGGGAGAGGTGCGCACGTGATCCAATACTGCTCCGACACGCTCACTCCCTGCCTCAGCTTACCTCCATCAACCTGCGGCTTGCCTCCCACAGCCAGAGCGAGCGGGAGGAGTTCAAGACCGAGTACAAGCAGAAGTACGAGAGGGAGAGGGTCCTCCTGTCGGAGGAGAACAAGAAGCTGTCAGGGGAGCTGGAGAAGGTGAGCTTCTGGCAGGAACCGGCAAGCTTCTTCCCGGCTGTCCTTCCTTAGTACTGTTCTGTAAAGCAGGAAATGACATCTCTTAGCACTAAATCGGGTGGGTTGTCATGCTAATCGCACTCACGTAGAGCAGATCAGCCAGGGTAGGCCAGTTCGCAGTCCTCCGTTCTCTGGGTCAGTGGTTCTCAACTCTCGGGACTCGCATATTACCTTGGCCATAACCCCAATTTAAAAAATTTCAACCCAAATTTATTTCATTAAAAAAAATAATGCATTATGCTCTATTTATTGTTAACAGTAGCACAATGCCTTCATGCATTGTTAAAAAAACAAAAAGTGTATATATACATTGTTTTTTTTGTTACTTCACACTCTGCAACCCGGTAACAATGGTCCCGGTGGGCTGTGACCCACCAGTTGAGGAAGAGCACTCTAGGCCACCCTGCTTGCTTTAGTTGTGCCCCCTCACTTCACAGGTCTATTGAAGTCACATGACTGTCTGCTGTAACCGTGATTGGCCGTGGCTTGTGACCTCATAATGGCCAGGTTCCAAAGGCATACTTTGAGGATGCAGAGTGTCCCAATGCAGCATAAATCTCTGCCTAATTTTAGCCCCTCTCTGACCATTCTTATTCCCTTTAGCCTTTTTTTTTTATCCATTTCCCTGCCCTTTTCCCAAGGTTCAGGCAGTATTTACGTTTACGAGTGGAAACTGCTATGCAGTTAGTCTGCTTCATTGGATGGAAGAAAATCATGATAAAATGATGCAATAAAGCATGCGGTTTTTGGGGAAGCTGAGGTCTCCAAGATACGCTTTAAAACCAATAAGCTTGTTTGTTGCCACAGAGTCTTTCTTGTTCAAACTGCTAATGTGCAGCTCAATGTTCTCCAGCGAATGGTTTGAAAAATCTCTCCCCATTTTTTATTGTTACCGCAAAGCTAATTTATTTTTAAATATTTAAATGTTAGCTTTAATTGACCAATTTAATTAATCTAGCCATGTCACTTTTTTTCTAATTTAACTGTTGCTTGCAGTATAAATCTTCCCTGCAGTGCTGTATGGAAGCATTTTCTAAGGTTTAGGTCACTAGAAAGAGGGTTGGTTAAACCATGAGAATATATTTATTTTTATCTGTCTATGTCTGAAAAGAATTAAGATGGCAGTAGTGGAATTGTATTTAACTCCAATTACATGTGTCACACTGTGACTGGCTGGGTGGACCTGGATTGACTCACCCTGCTGGCCCATTTTAAACATTATTGGGGGGTGGGCGCATGGGGGTCGCGGACTGGTCGCCTCGGCCTGTGCCCGACCGCCATCGGTTCCTAGACGGCCGGGTCCGTGGCCTCGGGCTGACAGGGCGACTCTGTGATTTATTATCAGCCCCCATCGTCCCACATAGCAGAAAGTCCTCGCTTTGGCGTCCCGTTCATGCCCGGGGGGCCTACTTACTGCCGGGTTATTTACTTTGGTGATATGACCCTCCCACCCACCATTACCCAGTAAGTGACAGGGAGATCCAGACAATATAAATGGAGATTTTCCGCATCAGTGGGGAATGCAATTTATTGATCTGGCCTAGTAAACTGACCACAGTCATATGAGCAGGGACATCGGACACCCAGGTCATGTGTGAAAGGGGAAGCTGTAAACTCTGTGTTTGTCTGCATCTGTACATGCGTGCTCAGTACGGAGCTGGTGTTGCATCTCGTACTGACATACTGACCCACGTCTTGCCGATGTTACTGCTGAATCAGATCATTGTGATGGAGCACTGATTCCTTTTCTCATGCTGTTAACGATACTGTGTTGTTTCTGATCCACGTGATTGTTATTTCTGCTAAGGATTAGTTAGAACCATAAAAAGTACCTTCACCAGGAATCTGGATCGCTGGTTCTACTCGCTGGGAAGCTATTCTTTCTGGCAGTTCCCTACTCATCGTTTTGATTATCAGAAATGCTGATTTTTATTATTATTTTAGAGGCGTCTGACATGTATTCGGGATTTGGCAGCTTATGAGTGAGTTATTCATTTAACTAACTGCCATAAATGGATAGAGTGAAACTCAGTGTAAACTTATGGTGGTCCAGCTGATGCTGAGTAATCATCTAGCCCCGCCCTCGGCCCCACCCCATTTCCCAGATAACGTCCATGGTGGAGACACTCGGCTCCACTAACAGACAGCTGGAGGAGGAGATGCGGGATGTGGCCGACAAGAAGGAGAGTGTGGCCCACTGGGAGGCCCAGATCACTGAGATCATCCAGTGGTGAGCGACACAAGGTCACTCTGAGGCGGCTTCTGTGCTTTGATTTTGTGTGGAGCCACCTAGTGTCCATTTCGGGGCAGTGACACAGTAAATGCTGTAACATTTCTGTTGAAATTATGCTAAAATATGCAACTGTCACTATGCGACTGTTCGTCAACCAGCTTATTTGAAAATTAGTATTTGGTAACACTTTATAGTCCCCTACTTAGCTATTACTGGGTAATATATTAGTAAATAAAGGTTCACTTAAAGTCAAATTTGGAAATGTACCACAAACATGCCTCACATTATTTAATAAAGAGCCTGTAAATGCTGAATTATAACTAATTTCTGAGTGCTTACTAACCCATTGTGTTATATTTACAAGTGATTTACAAGCTGTGAACGATGCATGTTTGTCATACATTTCCCAGTTTACCTGTGTATGAAAGTTTTTATCTATTAATATATCAACAAATGATCAGAAACCGATTAGTAATAGTTAAGAAGCGGACCTTAAATGAAAGTGCTACCGATTACTTTTATCGTTAAAACGTCAAACGTTTTCAGGTATGAAAATTCTTAGCATGACGCAATGCGCATTGCTGAATATAACTATGGCATCTTACCCTTGGCCACACGGCTCGGCAGTGTGCCGGAGCACCCCCAGGCCCCCACTGAGCACGTCCCTCCGTGTCCCTCCCCAGGGTGAGTGACGAGAAGGAAGCCAGAGGCTACCTGCAGGCGCTGGCCACCAAGATGACTGAGGAGCTGGAGAGCCTGCGGAGCACCAGCCTGGGTTCTAGGGCCACGGTGAGCGCCCTGCTGCGCCCTCCCCATCCCGTCCTGCGCTGCCCGCGTCCCGTCCCCGGCCGTGACCCAGACCGCCTCCCCCGCACTTCTTTTCTGCAGGACATGCCCTGGAAGATGCGCCGTTTCGCCAAGCTGGACATGTCGGCTCGACTGGAGTTGCAGTCCGCGCTCGACGCCGAGATCCGGGCCAAGCAGGCCATCCAGGACGAGCTGAACAAGGTCAAGGCGTCCAGCATGTCCACGGAGTGGTACGCTAATGCTAACGCTATCGCTAACTCCCGCCGGCTCAGGGGCCAGTTAATGCATAGGCCCTGGTAAAATCAGGGGCCCCACCCCACCTCAGGGAGAAACAAGGTTGATGTTAAATCGACTGATTTGCGATACCCCACCATTGGCAAATTTGAACAAACAACCCCCCCCCTCCAGCGATCTGTAAGCCCTGTTGGCTGAATTATTATTATCTATTATCAAAACTGTTACTCCTTCAAAAAAAATAAAATAGTGGCCCACTTGAGGGGATCCCCAAGTGTGTTGGCGTTGGGCCTCCAGAGAAGTTAACCCCCCCATCCTGCTTACAAAGACCCACATTGCTGCAAATTTAATCCTAATTCTCCTGTATCCCTTTGGTCTTGGCCGAATCCAGGCACTAGAATTATGAGTATTTCTGAATGCTTCCAGAAAATCTAGGTTAAAGTTGGCAGGTTCATGGCGGCTCATCTTGCAGCGAAGGCCAATTAAGTGAGAATATGATCTTACACTGGCTTTGTTCCTCTCCCAGCAAGCTGCAGGATTCTGAGAACAGGAACCAGGAGCTGATGTCTGAAATTGAGAAGCTGCAGAAGGAGACGGAGGAGCTTCGGACGGGGAAGGGTGAGAGCAGCCTGGGGGAGAGAGGAGCGTCCCCCCTCCACCACCCATGCCACGCCTCCTCCCTAAGCTGCAGACTGTGGCCCCCTTGCACCCTGCACTGTACCGTGTAGGTTTCTGGTTTCTTCACCTGCTTTCATGCTCTGCCTGCAGGTGTGAAGCTCCAAAGTACCCATAATTCCCTGCTGGCCTTCCTGAACACCCCCTCCTCGGCCCTGGATCAGTTCGAGGTGAGGCCGGTCTTTCTCCGATGTCCCTCCGCCACTCTGCTTTAGAAACGTATTGACGCGTTTTGTCTGTGTTTCTCCGAATCCTTTTTGAATCTGAATGTCTCAGACAAAATCAATTGACATCATTCGTTTCCTCGGTACGGTATCAGCTGCAGGTGCAGTTTTGCCAGAATGTTTGTTTCCTTCAGCTTTTTGCATTAAAGTACCCAGAATGCATTGGGAGAGCCCCATGTGCACTCTGCAAGTACACTTCGCAGGCAGTGACGCGGGTTAGCTAAAGTGCCTTAGTAACTGACATGCACGGCACACCAAACCGTGCCCGTAGCCTACAGCTGCGAGGATCTCTCACTCAGCGCTTTTTACCGGGCTTTTAAATTCACTTCCTGTCTTCTGTTTTTGTTACTCTTAGCTATCTATTTTTTAGAAGTCTGGGAAGACATAAATTTAAACTGCGGGAAGGTCTCCAGGACTGCCTTGTCTCTCTGCTGATAGAGACCCATTTTCATCGATTTTATCCCCCTACAGCTTACCTGTTCTTCCAGGTTCTGCCCAAATGACATGGAGCGTTCCTGACGGGCTGCGCCATGCTTGTCTGCCTGTCTGACCTTCCTGATTTCCCAGTTCCTTCCGCCTAACCATCCGTTTATATAATGTTGCCTGGGTGCTGTTAGCGACCTAGCCGCTAATTAGGTCACTTCCTTGAAACTGCACATGCCCATTAGCTCCCAGTAGCCAATAGCTGGTAAACTGTATTAGAAATCGTCAGTTGGTGATTCATCACCAAATTTGAACCGTCTGACTTTTCCCGAGTTTTTTCCAAAGTAAAAAGTTTGGGATTCATGTTTCACTTTCGCTTGTAAGCCTTTTGTACTAATGGATGTCTTTTGCATCTTCCCTCTTCCTCCTCCTCTCTCTGTCTCTCTTCTCTGCCCCCCTCCCCCCACATGTCTGTCTCCGTCCTTTTCTCTGTGCAAAAGCATTCCCCGGCCTCTTATCCAGCCACCAAAAGCAGACGTGTAAGCTCCCATGTCGTTGTTGGTTACCGGTTGTTGTTCTTCTTCTTCTTGTGCTGTATCTGTCCCCCCCCCCCGCCTGGCCTGATTATGGTACTGCTGGTGCCATGTGGGTTTGTTTTCCTGTTGTCCGTCTCTCTTGCTGTTGCTCTCTTTGTCCCCTTTTTCTGAAGGTGACGGTCACACTATCTGGGGTTGGGTGCGCTTGTGTTCCATGTTGGTGCATCTTTAAATTCTTCTGTAGTTGTGAGCTGGGGAAATAATCATAATCATTTTAGATCTCTCTTTTTATATTTTTGTGGTTATTATACATAATCAATTTTATCAGTGTTTTATGTGCAGCACTCATCTGATGTCCTTTTCCATTGACTAGGCTTGGGTAGTATCTAATTTTTCATATGGTCATTCAGTCCATACATTACACTGCGGGATGCAGTATTTCGTATTTTCAAAAGCAAGGCTTTTCTGGTATTTCGAAATATCGCCAGTAACATTTGCTGAGGAGGGGGCATCCCCCATGATAAAATATACCACGGTGTAGCGTTTCACCCTAATGCCACCCAAGCCTACCACTGAGCTCCTCCTTAGCCCAAGTACTCATGTCAAATAGACCACAGCCATGGTCCTAACCCCGCTCCCCCCCCATATCTGAAGGCTGACTCCATGGAAACCTTCAGCCTGTCCAACACCCCGTCGCGGGACGACGACACTCGCTCTCGCCTCCTGTCCCGCTCGCGATCGCCCTCTACTGCCAGCGACTTGGAGCCAATTGAGGTAAATCCCAGGCCTGGAACTTTTCTGCCTGTCAGGCATGGTCTTCACCTCCTAAAACGCTCTTGTCGCAGTTACCGGTGCCTGTTAACCTCTGACCTCTCCTTGTCAGCTGATAGACCAATCCCCCACCACGACACAGACTCTGATGACGCGGCCAGGGTTCAACAGGCCCAGTCTTGCCTCTCCCAAGGTAGGAAGCCGCTGTTACCAGTGATCAGGATTCCCCCCCCCCCCCCCCATTATCATCGTTAGCCTGGACGAATGTTGGGCTAACGCACAGCATTGCACACGCTAACTGTCCGCTAATTGCCCGTTGTGGCTAATGCAGCCGAAAGCGCACCAGTTTGTGGTGAAGACCTTCAGCGTCCCCACGAAGTGTAAGCAGTGCACCTCCGTGATGGTGGGCCTCATGCGGCAGGGCTGCGTCTGCGAAGGTGAGGCGTTGCCTGGGACAATGTCCCTTTCATTGCTGATTTTCTCCATTGAGCTCTGCACTGTTCCATGTTAAATTTTTTTATACAAAATACTTCTGATATGTATTTGCTCTTTGAATTCTGTTCAGCGAGTTTCCTCCATTCGATACTGTGCTGTACTAGTTATTTTTACTAAAGTAAAATCAAAAGCAGTTCTAGATTTTTTTTAACAGAAGTCACCATTAAGCACCTTATTTAGAATCTTCGTAAATCTGTTTTCACATTCTCAGGCTTTTATTTGTTTGTTGCCAGTTTGTTTGTTTATTTGATAATCATTAACCTTTCACCATGACTAGCTGCTTGTTTGACGTGAAAACCTAATTATCTAACTTCTGATATATTGCAATCTTTCTACTTTATTTTATTCCTTAATTTAAAAAAATCACATCATGCCATTTTGCATTAATAAACGTGGGCCTGGTCGTGCGCTTGGGTCCAGCCTGCAGCTTCTCGTGTCACGTGACCTGCGCTGACAAGGCCCCGGCGGTGTGCCCCGTCCCTCTGGACCAGACCAAGGGCCCTCTGGGCGTCGACCCGCAGAAGGGCACTGGCACTATATTTGAGGGGCACGTGCGGGTAAGAGGGGCACGTGCGGGTAAGAGGGGCACGTGCGGGTAAGAGGGGCACGTGCGGGTAAGAGGGGCACGTGCGGGTAAGAGGGGCACCCTGGTTTTGTTGGGCTCTGAAGGCAGGGTTCACCATAGAGGTTGTGGGCGTCAGCTTAGCTTTTTAGCTTAAAAATGTCCATAATTACCGGAGTTAATGAAGTCCTTTGGTGCGGCATGCGCTGCTTTTGAGGTAGAACGTTTGCCGGTTCCAAGCCGTGAAGGTGTGGCATCCTGCCGGGGAGGGTTGGGGTATTCCGCCTCTACGCTCCTGGTGGGGGCTAACGGTGCTTCCTCTGCCAGGTCCCGAAGCCAGCTGGGGTAAAGAAGGGCTGGCAGAGGGCCGTGGCTGTGGTGTGCGACTTCAAGCTCTTCCTGTACGATCTGGCAGAGGGCAAGGCCTCACAGCCCGGAGTGATGGTCAGCCAGGTCATCGACATGAGGTGGGAAGCTGTGGGCGGGGCGGCTGTTCTTTAGCCAATCATCTGTCGGGTCATTTGTCATGTGACACGTGTACGCATTTGTTTTTAGGGATGAAGAGTTCTCTGTCAGCTCTGTCTCTGCATCCGATGTCATCCACGCCAGTCGGAAGGACATCCCGTGCATCTTCAGGGTGAGCGCCTGTCCACATGGTGTTCGTTCATTGACTGGCTGTGGGTAGCATCCCACAAGGACAGGAGACTGGGTGGTGCCAATCTGGAATCATGGGTACTCCTGTCACTTGGCATTGCTTCTTATACTGCTATTGACTGTATTGGTTCAGTGCAGATTGGGAGGGGCGATGGGGCATCAAAAGACACAGTAACCAGCCTTTGGAGAGATTATTGCTGTCATTCAGTTGCTAAGCCAATGGGAAGGTTTAAATCAGTTGATTGACAGCATAGAGACATCGCAGTTAGTAGGTACCCTGGCCCCGCCTACCTCGCTCCCCATGGCTCTCTGGTAAAACCTCCGTGCCCCCCTGCCCCCCAGGTAACAGCCTCCCAGCTCTCCACCTCCAGCCGCCGCAAGTGCTCCATCCTGTTCCTGGCCGACAGCGACCTGGAGAGGAAGAAGTGGGTGGAGATTCTCAACGAGATCCACCGGCTGCTAAGAAAAAGCAAGCTGAAGGAGCGCTTCGTCTACGTGCCCAAGGAGGCGTACGACAGCACGCTGCCGCTCATCAAGACCGCGCAGTCAGCCACCATCATAGGTGCCGCTGCCTTCTCAGCACGGCACAGTGCACTACTGGTGTCTGCTTGTGCCCGTATATGCCTGTATAGATGCACCCTCACGTATTTCACTTATACCTCTGTAGGGATTGTTTCCCTCAAAACTGATGAAAATTACTGGGGAAAAACATCATAGAACTTAGGGGCAGGGATTAAATCCCAAACCCTATGAGGTTTTAGTACATGTTTATTTTTATTTATTTAATTTTTTTAAATGGTACTCATACACGCAGAAACATACACACAGATATCTGTCGAGTGTGTAAGAACTAACTCTTTCATGATGAGGTAGGGAGTTCAGACCCTTTGTGGAGAAGCATTGTGTGTTGTTGAATGGGTTAGGACACAGTGCTTGTGACTGGAAGGTTCCAGTTCCAATCCCAGACTCAGCTGAGTGTTTTCACCTTGCGGCTCTTCAGTAGGCCCCTTAACCCCTAACTGGTCCTGGCGTGGGTCTGACCCTGCAATTGGGTAAAAGCATGTTTTGCATTGAAATGAAATTGCCTCTTCTATGGAGCTCTGTGCGGTCACTCTAAAGTCACACAACCCCATTTAAGCTCCTTTTCTTTGTAAGTTTTTCAGCTCTTTTTTTTTTTTACTTCCGCTGCAGATCATGAACGGATTGCCCTGGGAAACGAGGAAGGCTTATACGTCATCCACATCACCAAAGACGGTAGGACCTGAAAGTCCACCTGTGCCAGATTCCTTCCATCTTCCGTTTAGGGTTATGACGTGATTAGAGACGGACATCATAGTTAATTGGTTCTGTTTCTAAATCCTGTCTCACACTGAAACTGAAGAGCAAATTTCCAAAACTCATTCAGTCCATTTTTTTTTTGTTATTGTTTTTGAGATGAGATTGTGTGCTGTTCAGCAGGTCGGGACACTGTCATCAGAAAGTCACAGGTTTGAATCACGGGGTCAGGTGACTGATTTCACCACTTGGCCCCTGAGCTAGACCCCAAGCCCCCGTCTTCTCCAAAAAAAACGTTGCTTTGGATAAAACATCTGCTAAAAAATGAAAAGTAAATATGCCCCAAAGTCAGGCTTCCTCATCTGTGGCCTGTCCTACGACGCGGGTTACTGGCTTATCGGGGTAACTTGTCGGATTTAAGGTATCACAGTTTAAATGGATTTCATATTCGTTCACTTACATCTTGCCCAGACTACCTTAAATCCGACAAGTTACCCCGGTAAGCCAGTAACCCCGCTTCGTTGTACAGGCCACAGATGTCACAGTGCTGGGAACCAAAACTCACCCAGGAACTTTCGTTAAATTTCCAAGACGTGGTCCACATAAATTTTCCCAAACCTATCACATGGGCTGAATGAGTTTTGTTAATCTGCTTCAGTTGCTCTTGCCTGCCGTGTCCTGCTGTCTTGGCTTCAGCCAGATTCCCTCCTTCCTCAGAGATCATTCGGATCGGCGACAACAAGAAGGTGCATCACATGGAGCAGCTCCCCTCCGAGCAGCTGCTGGCCGTCATCTCGGGCCGTAACCGCCACGTGCGGCTCTTCCCCATGTCGGCGCTGGACGGCCGCGAGGTCGACTTCCACAAGCTGCCGGAGACGCGGGGCTGCCAGGCGCTGGCATCCGGGCCGCTGCGCAGGGGCGCCCTCGTCTGCCTGTGCGTCGCCATGAAGCGGCAGGTCCTCTGCTACGAGCTCAGCCGCGGTCGCACGCGCCACCGCAAGCTCCGCGAGATCCAGGCGCCGGCCTCCGTCCAGTGGATGGCGCTGATGGGCGAGAGGCTCGTCGTGGGCTACCAGGGAGGCTTCGCCCGCTACAGCCTGCACGGGGAGGCGGCGCCCGTCAGCCTGCTGCACCCCGAGGACACCACCCTGGGCTTCGTCGGCCAGCTAGGGCTGGACGCCCTCTGCGCCGTCAGCGTCTCCAGCAAGGAGTTTCTCCTGTGCTTCAGCGGCGTGGGCGTCTATGTGGATGCACACGGTCGGAGGTCACGCCAGCAGGAGCTCATGTGGCCGGCCGTACCGACTTCCTGCTGTAATAACCCTATATTTCTGCATTAAATGTGTTGTTCCTTGTTTAACATTTTGAAGGGTGCCTGTTTTAGGTACATGTTTTAGGTAACACAGGCCACAGTATTAATACCGTTCTGTAGTTGTGTTACTATGTCTTGCTCTGCTTTTTGTAGAATGCAATTCGATTGGTGCCATCTAGTGGTCGGAGTGTCTGCAAAGTTGTTTAATAGATTGTTCCCCAGTCCAGTTTTAGTCATGTCCTGTTTTTTGTTTTTTTTACTTGTTAAAGCAGACTTAGGCAAACGTAGGAGTGCATAACAACCCCACCAAGCTATTTTTATTGGTCCTCATGATCATTAATATGAAAAAAAAAACTTTTATGTTCAAGTCCCATGAATACTAAAATGCTCAAAAATCTCCAAAAGCAGCTCGTATTTGGCACCGAACATTAAATGGCCAGGCCTGTGCTACAGGTACTGATGTGTGTTGATAACATAACAGGCCACAGGTAGAATGACCGGCGTCGCTTTTCCCCCAGGCTACAACGCCCCCTACCTGTCAGTGTACAGTGAGAACGCCGTGGATGTGTTTGATGTTAACACCATGGAGTGGATTCAGACCATCCCCCTGAAAAAGGTGGGTGTTGGTGCAGGGCCTGCGTGCGTGTTTGGGTGGGGGTGGGGGGGCAGTCAGGGGAGCACAACACATCAGTGTTTTTTCAACCCAGTCTTCAAGAACCTCAGATGGTCCACATTTTTGCTCCCTCCCAGCTCCCTGCCACACAGTTCACATTTCTGCTGGGAGCTGGGAGGGACCCAAAGCGCGGCCTGTCTGGGGGCCCCGAGGACCGGGTTCAGAAACACTGCTCTACATGCCTGTTTGCCTGCCTCACAGGTGAGGCCCCTCAACATGGACGGCTCTCTGAACGTCCTTGGCCTGGAAACGGTGCGACTCGTCTATTTTAAGAACAAGATGGCAGGTATGTCTGGCTTTCCGGCTTCCTGCTGTTTCAGATAAACTGGCACCATTCCTTCCTTCCTCTTTTTTCCCCTCTCTCTCGTGCTGCACTGACTTCCCCCCGGCATGCTGACTCTCCCCCCGGCACGCTGCGCTGACTCCCCCCCGCGTGCTGAGACTCCCCCCCGGCGCGCTGCGCTGACTCTCTCCCCGCCGCGCTGCGCTGACTCTCTCCCCGCCGCGCTGCGCTGACTCTCTCCCCGCCGCGCTGCGCTGACTCTCCCCCCC